TTGAAGCCTAAGTGAAACTGCATTTCTACCTCTAATGCAAGGATATTCATTGTAGTATTTATAATAGCAAAGTAATGGAATGTAATGAAAGTAACTGTGAGTGGTTAAATATATTGTGTGTTTTATTATAATCTGCTATAAAAGAATGAGATAGAGCTACTCATCTTGACATTGAACAATCTTCTGCGATACGTGGCATGCGCAGATCATGAGTTCCATCCCTCGTACCAAAGCGGGGTGGTGACACATACCTGTAATCCCAGCTCTTGGGAGGCTGAGGAAGGAGGATTCTTACAAAGCGAGACCAGTCTGGGGCCTGGGGATTTGGCTTAGTGGTATAGTCACCTGCCAGACAAGTGCAAGGTTGTGAGTTCGATCCCCGGTACCAAAAAACCCAAAAACAAACAAACAAAAAACCCCCCAGACAATTGATGGAGACCAACCTCGGCTACAAAGTGAGTTCAAGGCCAGCCTGAACTGCATAGTGAAATCCGCTCTCAAAAAGGCAAAAATTTAAAAAAAAAAAAAAAAAAAAGGGTAAAACATACACACCATCTAATGCCAAAATGCTCTCTTGAGTCTTCGGCCTCCAGAGGTAAAGGGAACAGGGTTTTAGTCTAAGAAGGTTCCTTCCTGTGTACTACCCCCGACTCACTCTGTGCTATAGTACAGACCCTGTTAAAATACTCACTTTGGTGTTCCTGTAAAAAGAAAGAGGAGAGGGAGAAAGAGAAAGGGAAAAAAAAGAAAAGGACAGGCAACAATACTTAGGCACATATGTACGGGAACCTATAGGGAATAGTAGCAAGAAAGCCAAATTTGGAAGCTATTGCTATAGACTGTACAAGAAAATATAAGGTAGATCCCATCTAAGACATTTACTGTGGTAAATAGCATAAGACAGTGATGCTTTCCGGAGGCAATTTGGAATTAATCACCAAATGCGTCATATTAGGAAAGATCATGGAGCCAGGGATTTAGCCCAGTGGTGTAAGTGCCTGCCTGGCAAGCGTGAGTTCGATCCCTGCTTCCAAAAAAAAAAAGAAGAAAGAAAGATCGTAAGTAGTCTATACAGGAGATGAGACATTATAATATTAAAAGTTCTTGTACTGAAGAATACATAGAATTAATTATTTCATACAGCTCTGAGGTAGATACAATCACTTTACAGATTGGGAAACAGGATTGACAAAGTAAAGTTACACTGCCCAGGTCCATCAGTTAACAAATGGTAAGTGAGGAACACTGGAAACCAGATACCACTGTACGATATTAATATTAGGCAGAATTGAGATCAAGAGAAAGGAGGTGTGGGAATTTTAAGAATATTGGTGGAAATGTGAAGGCATGAGACAAAGATGGGGAGCAGTGAGATCAGTGAAAGTGATGACAGCGTGGTGGTAGATGACTTTGAATGTTAGCTTGAGAGGATCCTAAGTGGTAAATGCTCGTAGCATCTGTTATTGGGGCCTGTGAAGAAATGCCTGATGACTTTGACAGGCAAGTTTTAGAAGTGAGCGTAGCCTTTTCTCTTGTAGTTTAACCTCATGGTGTTCCCTACATGTTTAAAAAGAAGGATTTGGAGTTTTATGCTTCCTACTATAACCATTTCTGGTAGTAGCCACTCAGTATTTGCTGAATGAATATATGAATGAAATATCTGGCCCAGAATCTATATTGTTTTATCTTCCTCCCACCATGGGTGATGCCAGATATTTCCTATTCCACCACAAACCGTCACTCACTGAGTACTTTTTGTGTGTGTGTGTGTGTGTGGTTTTTTTTTTTTTTTTTTTGAGACAGGGTCTCTCTGCAAAGTTCAAGTTGACCTTAAACTCACTATGTAGCCCAGGCTGGCCTCAAACTTGCCATGATCCTTCTGCCTCAGCCTCCAAGTGCTGGAATTATAGACATGCACTACCACACCGGGCAGACACTACTACTTTTTGCAAAGATCAGAATGTGAACTTTTTGATTCGCTGTAAGGTCTGTTCCGTTTGGTCACAGTCCCTCTTGTGGCCCTCCCTGGGCATACCTTACCATTTTCAGTACCTATCATCAGAAGCCCTTAGCCTTCCTTTCCCACCTGTTCCCTCTGTGTGCCCCAAATCTAGCTTCTCCCCGGTCCAGTGTGTGCGGTGTGGGTCTGTCACCCTCAGAGGGCTCATGGCCATACTGCTCTCCTGTCGGGTACTCTGCGGGGTGGGGGGGTGCCTCCCTCAGCTCACTGTGCCTTCATAGCTCTTCCCGCACAGTTCCTCTCAAATAGGTCTCCTTGCTGCCACCAAACGGCTCGTTTTGTGTGCTACCTTTGCACATCTGCACCTTCTGTTCCCCCTCCTGGGATGCCCTTCTCTTCCTTTATTGTCTATGTGGCTCCTTCCTATACACTTTCAAGACTGCTCAGAATCAAACTCTACCTTTCCTCCTTCACCCAGTTTGAAATACTGTTTTTGTTTGTTTTGATGAACCAGTTACCAGTTATTGCTTGTGTTACAAATAAGCAAATCAATGTACTAATCTTTGACTCTGCTTTTATTGCTTTCTCACATGTTCTCTAGAGCACTGAGTTCTGTCTCCTTTTACAGTCTTACACATTATCTCTCCAGCACATTCTAAGTTATTTGAAAGCCCTGAAGTGCTCCATAAAGTGAGTAGATTTAGTTATCTTACAGATTTTTAAAGTTAGATATGTAATTGTATGTAAAAGATTGAAGAGGTATCTTGGTGGTAGAGTGCTTGCCTCGGATGTATAAGACCGCAGATTTGATCCTGAGCACTGCAAAAATAAAAGAAATCAAACAAAAACCAAATAAATAAAGAATTTTTTAGGTATCTACAAAAAGCTACTAAAACTAGTAACTAATGGAGCAAAGTTAAGGATTCATAATTAAATGTACAGAAATAAATGAATAATCAGAAATTGAATTTTAAAAATGGTGTTGTTAATTCTGGAAAAAAATTCCATTCATAATAGCATAAAGGAATAAAAATTCCATTTATACTAACATAAAGGAATAAAGTTAATGAAAACATTAAGTATACCAAAAACTCTAGCATTGTAGAAAGAAATTGTGAGGGGTGGAAAATAAATGAAGAACTATGCTATATTCATAGATTCAAAGACTCAATATTAACACAGTAATTCTTCCCGAAGAGGTCTGTAGATTCAACACAATTGTAGTTAGCAGGCTTTCTGCAGAACTTGACCAAATGATTATAAAATTTGCACATTGATGATACATGCCTGTAATACCACCTCTTAGAAGGCTGAGACAGGAGTGAAAGCTCGAGGCCTGCCTGGGCTACATAGGGAGACCTTGTCTCAAAATAAAATGGGCTGGAGATTTTAAGTCAGTGATAACATACCCTGATTTTGATCCCTAGTACCATAAAAACAAAACAACTGGAAATACCAAGTGCTGACAAAGATGTGTAGCACCTGGCATGCTTATATATTGCTCGTGGGAATGCAAAATGATACTGTCCTTTTAGAAAACAGCTTGACAGTTTTAAGTAAAGTTAAAAATAGCCTTATCATATGACTCCACTGTTGTACTCTTAAAGATACCTACCCAGAGAAGTGAGTCCACCAAAAGACTTATACATAAATGTTCATGGCCGCAATGTTTATAATAGCCATAATCTAGAAATAGCATGCATTGAATAATAAATGGATAAATTATAAATGGTGCAATATTTTTCAACAGTAAAAAAATGAGCTACTGATACAGGAACATGGATGCATTTCAAGATTGTAATGCTGAGTGACAGTAGTTAGACATAAAATTCTCAGTACTGTAAATTCCTGTGTAAGTAACATAGAAGAAGACAAAACCATACATAGATCAGTGTTTAGGGGTAGAGCATTGTGGAGGAGCCTAAAATAACGTTTTGTTTTTTTGATACTGGGGATCAGACTCAGGACCTTGCACTTGCAGGCAGGTACTTGTGCCACTGAACTAAACCCCAGCTGAGATAACATTTTGGTTGGTAAAAGAGTTCTATAGATTAATTATAGTGAGGGTTACAAAACTGTATACTGACCAGAACTCACTGGACTGTATACTTGGGTGAATTTTACTGTATGCAGCTATACTTAGTTGGGGGGTTATACTGGAATCAAAGACTGAATTAGGTCAGAAAGACCATACTTTCTTTTTGTGTGCTTTTCCTATTATTGGTGGGGAATGTGCTTTTCCTATTACGGAAATATTATGGTTAGTGCTTTTCCTATTATTGATTTTTACGAAAAATTCATACCATTCCCTCTGCCAGTTGATAGTTCATAAGCAAATATATTTGAGTGCCAGTTTCCATGGAGCCAGAATGAGTTTGATGTAGAAGATGGATGTTAATGATGAGACCAAAATTGACTCTAAGAAAAGGTGGAATGGTGGAAGCAGTTAGAATTTTCAGTGACACCCCTTGTTCTATTACTGTGGTTTGAATTCTTGAATGCTCATGCATTCTTACCTGTAAACCTGTTAAGTATCCAGTGTTGAGACTGTGTGTGTGTGTGTGTTTGTGTGTGTGTGTGTGTGTGTGTGTGTGTGTGTGTGTATTGTACACTGTTGGTTTTTAAGTGGAACATTAATTTATTACAAGGGACTACACAGGGTGTTTGATATCCCCAACCTCTGTAAGTACCCATAGCATTTCTCGTCATTGTGGAAACCAAAAAGTAGGCTTCACACTTTTTGATATTACAGAAGTTGGAGGAGGAGATGTAACAGACTAGAAGATAATACAGTTACCTGGCATGGGGTCAAGTGACAGACTTGTAGTCGGAACACCTGCATTCAAATCTTGTCTCTGTCTTTTACTATCTTTGTCGTGTGGAATGTAACTGAATCCTTTGAGTCTGAGTTTCCTGTCTGGCAGTGGGATAGCAGGTCTACATTCCTTTTTGTTGTAATAGTTTTTGACTCTGCAGTTAGATATTTGATACTGCTCCAGAAAAACAAATGCTTATGTGACTCAACTTCGGTATATTGCAGGTACAGCTTGTTGGATTAGATGAGGAGAGTTCAGAATTTATTTGCCGAAATACCTTTGACCATCCATACCCCACCACAAAGCTCATGTGGATCCCTGACACCAAAGGAGTCTATCCAGATCTGCTGGCAACAAGCGGCGACTATCTACGTGTGTGGAGGGTAAGCAAATGCTTCTTTAGCAGCTAGATAAGTAGCTTTCCGCGTGTTAGCTGTTAACTGTGTAGTCACAAAGAGTAAGACAGGATAAGGGTAGTGAGTGTCACTGCAGCCTGGGACAAATGAGCAAAGCTGCTTTGGACTGAATTGTTTGGCTCAGCAGATTTTCTAGTAAATCTAGCCAAGATTCCAAGAATTCTTGTCTTGGCTATAGTCAGCCTGGAAACCTGAGGCTCAGTTAATCTGATATGATGAATACATTCTTCAGTGGGGTTGGGGGTACTTGGTCTGTTAGTCTGTTAACAGTTAAGATATTTTTGTGTAAATTAAACAAAACATTAGGCCATTAATGTTAATAGATTATGTGAGCAGATCTTGGAATCTCCTTTCCCCTGTCAGCTGAACTCAACAAATTCAGTAGTCTGCGGTATATAGCCAAGTAGACAAGGTCCTAAGATTCTGGACAAAACAAAGTGAGAAGACCTCACCTTTAGAAAAAAAACTTTGGGAAGAAGTCTAATTTGGGGAGTTCTTATAGATTTTATTACTTTTTATGATAAAAATGTTTTCTCACATGTCTTAGATTTACCAAGATATTATCTGAATAGGGCTTTTAAATTTTTTTGTGAGGATAGGACTGGTTGATTTTTTTCCCCCCAATTATTATTCTTCAGGTTGGTGAAACAGAGACAAGGCTGGAATGTTTGCTAAATAATAACAAGAATTCGGATTTCTGTGCCCCCCTGACTTCCTTTGACTGGAATGAGGTGGATCCTTATCTTTTGGGTAAGGGAGTTAGGGAGAAACATGTATTCCAGTTTGAAGAAGAATGATACATTTTCTCAGAGAAAACACTGGATGAGGAGAAAGCATCACATATAACACTGGGCCAGTTTTTTGTTTGTTTTTGGTGCTGGGGATTGAACCTAGGGCCTCACACATACTGGGCAAGTGCTCTGCCTCTTAGTGACTCTCCAACCTCTGAATCAGTTTTGAATTAAGGGCCTGAGTTTCATGCAGCATCCTACACAAAACAGGGCCAAATGAGAAATGGGTTAGATGTATGGTTATTAATTCCTCACGTAGGGTTGAGCTTTCTGTGTGTGCATATCTTGTCTCTCTAGTTAAAATCTAAGCATCCTAAGATAAGGACTAAATGCTTCCTACACTCAGGAAGCATTTATGGCATGTTGTTTCCTGGCCAAGCAGATGAGCAAGCACAGAAGAGATGTTTGCATGGGAATCTTACCCCATCAGCGCTGACTTGCACTGGTGTTCACAGGTACCTCAAGCATCGACACAACTTGCACCATCTGGGGGCTGGAGACTGGGCAGGTGTTGGGGCGAGTGAATCTTGTGTCTGGCCATGTGAAAACCCAGCTGATTGCCCATGACAAAGAGGTAATGATGCTTTACTTTCCTCAGACACTTTCTATACCAGTAGGTAATGTGTCAGGTTATTCTTTCACTGTTTTGCAAATTATGTAGACAATCAAAATGCTTCATGTTCAAAGTAAAAATAATAGTGTATAAGAATGACAGGAACAGCATTGTTGTAGAATAATGCATTTTTTGACTAATATAAATGACTTGTTCTAAAGTCTGTTTTCCTTTTCATGTAACAGGTTTTTTTTTTTAATAATGAAGTCTCTTAGAGATACACTAGAAATTGGTGTGATTCAAAATAATTTCAGAGTAAAACTTACTTCACAATATAATGGTTTTCCTTTTAAGAGTAAAGGAAGAAAGACAACTTTCTGACAGACAAACCTAATTAATATTTTCTCTTTATATATATTTTATTGCATTCTAGTATATTTATGTAATCTTTATATTTCTAATATTATTTGGAAACAAACATTTTACTTTGATATGACATTTCTTTTATGTTTGTGGGAAAAACTGAAGAAAGGTACTGGTGATTATGGGGTGGTTTTGTGACAGGGTCTCACTATGCAGTTCAGCTGGCCTTGAACTCACTATGTACCTGAGGCTGTTCTCAAACTTGCAGTGATTGTCTTGCCTCAGCTTCCCAATGCTAGGATTACAGGTATGCTCAACCATACTCAGTTTAGTGATTAATCAAAGCATTCCTTTGATAATTTGGCATAGTAGTCTACCCAGAGCCATCCCATACTCCTATCTCATTTCTTTGAGGTTGTGTTTCTCTTTTTTTCTCCCTTAACCTCACAGTTAGTAGTATTAATATTTGTACAGGTAAAAAGGACATCTTGACCATGGTGAAAAATTGGAGATTATCAACAATATAGGAAGGTAGTTACATAAAGGGTTGTTTTTGGCCTCGGTGCTTCTAAGTTTTAAGATCTATTGTAAGACTGCTGGACTTGACTCCTGCTAAACCAGTTTCAAATGAAGAGTTTGTTTTGCCGAGAGTAGTAAGGAACTTCTAGAAGCTGTCTTGGTATCATGTGGTTGCTGCATTTTAGTTATATGACAACCTAATTTGCTGTTCTCTTTTAGTTCCTACTCAGAGACAGTAACTACTCCTAAGTATTGTATATAGACTAAGACTGTTTAAGCCATGGGATTTCTTACACGGATGAGGCAGCAGTAAACTAATGGAGAAAATAGGAGCAGCAGGAAGCTGTCGTTACCTAGAAGCCAGAAAGCCCAGTAGAGGACACAGGGTTTCTAGGGTCCAGGGGATGAGTTTAACTGGCAAAGACACTTTGGGGACAGAGTGAGGAGGAGAAGTACTTAGCTTTTTTCCCTGCTTCCCACCATCCAGTTTCCCACCAGGGCTTCCCATGGCTGAACCATCTAGAAACCGTCAGCAGACCTAAGACCCTGCCAAACTTAGCCTGTAAGAGTCAGTTCTCTTGTGAACAGAAAGGAGCAGGAAGGACAGTCTGCAATGGATCTTAGCAGATAGACCCCAGACCAGCACCTGGCCTTGAAGAAAGGAACCTGAGGATGGTGGTTCTGAGGCAAGCAGATCTTGCACCTTGATTTTCCTCACTCCTTTTCTCTGAATTTAAGGAAAGACTTATTTGGGATGCTTTCTTGGATGCCTGGCAGGTGGGCATAGAGGAGAGTTTAATACACTTGAGAATTATTACTCACTTTTTTTCCTGACAAACGACACATGGATAAAGGACCAGTCATTTAAAGCAAAGAGAACTTTGTGCACTGTGTCACACTGCTCCTGGGCACCTATGATGTCTCACCTGAGAGTATTCAGAGATGGTACCATGGGATGCATGTACTGCTGCATCTGCCTGAAATAGCTGGACAAGCCGTGATCTGCTGGGGCTGTCAGGCCTGGGAGCCTCTTGTTGATGACTGACCTACTTCCCTTTTGAACTCATTAATTACTAAAGAGAAGCATAATTTCTTTATTATCTGCTAGAGAGAAAGGAATTCAGAAGGTTAAATAGAAATGGATCTTAATTTGCTAGTGTACCTGAATAGGCTAAACCCGAGTATAAAAGCTGCAGTGTTTAATAAGAAATTCTACTCATGTGTCCTCAGAAGTCAGCTATCTTTATTATTTTTGACTGCAGAAGGTAGGTTTTGTTTGGGATTTTTGTTTTGTTTATTTGATACAGGGTCTTACTATGTAGTCCAGGCTGGACTCAAACTCACTATGTAGCCCAGGCTGGTCTCAAACTCATTCTCTTGCTGTAACCTCTCTATCAAGTGCAGTATTACAGGCATGAGCTACCATGCCAATTTGTTTTGTTTTGTTTTAAGAACAAACCCAGGAGTGCTGTACCACTAAGCTGTATCTTCAACCGTTTTGGTTTTTATTTTGTGAGTCTTGCTGAGTGACCTAGATTGGGTTTAAACTTGGCATCTTTCTGCCTTAGCCTCCCAAGTAGGTGAAATTGTGGACATGGGCCACCAAGCCCAACATGGGACTTTACTGTTTCTGTATCTCTTCACTTGTCTGACTCTAGAGTTTTATCTATCTCTCTTAGTCCCTCTCTGTCTCTGAAGCTCTTTATTGTTCCCTGCCTCTGTTTCTCCTAGACATTAGTTAGACAAAATGTTTGCAGAAAATTATAAATGCAGAAAAGTGTTTGAAATCTAAATTGACTCACTTATTGTTATGGTTATCTAAATATTCTCTCAAAGCCTTGTATGCCCAAAGGTGGGGCTTTGGGAAGGTGATCCGATTATATGGATTTCTAACTGACTGCTTGTGAGAAGGCAGGGTCTGGTTGGAAAAGTTGGTCACTATGTGTGTGGCCTATCTCCATCCCTGGCTTCTCCTTTGACACAGATTCTCATTTCTTGGCCAGCTTGCATGAACAGTTCTTAGCTGTGTCCCTCTGCCATGCTGTACTGCCTTGCAGCCAGTCAGCTGTGGGCTGAAACCTTACAAACTGTGAGCCAAAAGAAACCTCTCCTTTAAGTTGTGGGTGTCAGGTATTTTGGCCCAGCAATGAAGAAAGTGACCAAAACAGATTTTGGTACCAGAGAAATGAGGTCATTGCTGTGAGACAACCTGACCATGTGATTCAGGAGTCTTTGGAACTGGCTTATCTGAGGATTTTAAGTCTGGAGATGCCAGCAGGAGAAGCAGTTCTAGAATGCTGTAAGCCAAGCTTAATGGGAGATTCTGGTCAGAGCTCAGATGACTGGAATGCTGATTTTAAAAAAAAAAAAAAAAAGGCAAATAGAAAAGCCTTGGCTCGAAGGTTTTAGGAAGGAAGCAGGGCTTTGTTGGCAGTTGGACAGCAGCCACATGTGTTGTGCTCTGGCAGAAAACTTGTCTATGTTTTGCTCATGTCCCGAGACCACAGGAAACTTAGATTAAGGGTTAGATTAAGGGCACATTAAGCTGGCAGAGGAAATTTCAAGGCAGCCTAACATTTAGGCTATGGTATGGTATTGTTGAGGGCTTTTAGCCAGCTCTACCTTGAGAATCAAGTACAAATGGCATAGCTGAATGATGTTAAAAGTTTTCAGTTTTGCCAGAAAGTAGGCTTCTGCAAAGATGGAGCAGAGTTGAGTTTGGTTACTAAAACAGTTATTAAAATGAAGCCAAATTCTTTATAACAGTTTAGTAGAAAGGATGCATTCAGAGTGTATGAGGAATCAAAAAGGTCTTACCCTTCTCAGGCTCAGAATTGCAAAAGTGAAAGACTTGGCTTTGCGAAGAGAGCTGTAGCCGTAGTGGTTTATGTCATGTCTCCCTAAAGCTTCATTGAGGTGCAGTCAGGACCTTTGGGAAGTGATTGGATTTTGGGGACATTATAGCTGACTTGCTATTGGTGGGAAGAGACAGCTCACTGTGGGCTTGACCTAGAAGGTTGTATCTCCCTTCCTGGCTTCTCCCTTGATGCTCTGTTTCCTCTCTGCCATGATATGAGCTGCTTGCTTCTGCCATGCCGTCCTGCCTTGGAGCCAACCAACTGTGGACTGAAACGTGAGCCAAAATAAACCTCTTTTCCCTTAAATTATGAGTGTTGGGTATTTTGTCCCAGCAACAATAAAGCAACTGAGACACTTATGAATATAAACCATTTTGGAGAAGAAACATGTCCTAGGAAAAGAGTGATCCTAAATAGAGCAACACTTGACCTTCCATAATTCAAAACTGCTATTACCTCTTTCTTGCAAAATGAGTTTCAGGTTTAAGTTTCATAGCAGAATCAGCTTGACTGCTATTAAATGGCCTCAGGAGTGCTGCTTCCACCTTTCAAACTGATGATTTCAAACATAATTTGATCATGTGTGCCTGTGATTGCATATAAATGTAAAGCTGCCAACGCCCAGAAGCAAATGTCTCAAGCTTGGATTATGACACTAGTTCTGGTTTCCACTGAGCCTATGCATACAGAATCCCTGCTCAGTTTTTTGTGTTCTGCCAATTAGTAGGGTATATGTGCCTTTTGTTTTATTATCATTTGGAAGAAGAGTTGGAAAGCAGCAAGTGGGAAGAAGCCTGACAATGTGTGTAGCAGAATAAACTTCATTTTTGGGAAACAGTTGTTGGTAGAGCTCTGGAGTTCTAGTACCCACAGACACTGTTTAGGATTCCTTTACTTGCTTCTTTGTCACAAGCTGAGGTTCGGATGAACTGGAGATGGTAGATTTCTCTACTATAGTGAAAGAGATGACAGATCTGAATCTTACTGAAGTGTCTTACTTGATCTCCAACAGGTGTATGATATTGCGTTTAGCCGAGCTGGAGGCGGCAGGGACATGTTTGCCTCTGTGGGTGCTGATGGCTCGGTCCGAATGTTTGATCTCCGCCATCTGGAGCACAGCACCATCATTTATGAAGACCCGCAGCATCACCCTCTGCTTCGTCTCTGCTGGAACAAACAGGACCCAAACTACCTGGCTACTATGGCCATGGATGGAATGGAGGTGAGCACCACAAGTAGACTAACAAGGCCCCGCCACCTAATGCAAGCACTGCTTAGTATATCTGCAAGACTAGTTCTTAGCTGGTGGCAGTGTTGCTCCCAGGGAATTTCTGTAAGTAGCCAGAGACATTTTTGGTTGTGACAACTTGGGTGGAGGTGAGTAGTCCTCTTGGCATCTAGCAGGTAAAGACCAGAGATTCTGCTGAACATCTTATAATGCATAGGATATACCCCAAGTCCTATCCAAAATGTCAGTAGTGCTAAGATTGTGAAAGCCTGATCTAGAGCAAAGACTATTATTTCAAAACAAAACAAAAAAACTTCTAATACATAGAGTGTTGGATTTAGAGCCAAAATAAGCAATATTTAAAGAGTCATCTAAATCATTTATATGTATGGGCTGGATGGAAAAAAACAGCCATTTCCCCCTTCTACATGCTACACACATTCATCCAGCTTCAAGCAAGTGTAGAAAAAGCACCTCTCTCTAGTCTATTACTTAATAAAAGGAGTGTATTGTGGATGAAGAGGATGCAGGGGTTTGGCAGAGCTTGTACTTCAGACTTCTTACATTCCCATTTCCGCTTTGATCAAGGTCTCATTTTGTCCTGCTGTGATACAGAGTTCTTATCACAGTCAATTGCTGGGACTCAGTGGTTACCCAAACTAATGGTACCTACTTCTGCTTCCTCTTTTCCCTATCAGTCTAAAGGCCCATGTTGTTCAGGACAGGGACTATATCTTCTTGTTTTCACATCCCCTAACCCTGTCTAATATTATTTAAACCCACAAATGAAAAAGTTATGTTTGAGAAAAAAAATGTCACATAGAGTCTTTTCTTTATTTGTTTAGCTATACCCTGCAGTTTCAGGACCTTTTGCTTGTATTTCTACAGGTGGTGATTCTGGATGTCCGAGTTCCTTGCACACCTGTTGCCAGGTTAAACAACCACCGAGCATGTGTCAATGGTATTGCTTGGGCCCCACATTCATCTTGCCACATCTGCACTGCAGGTAACCATGGTGGAGACATGGAGTAGTAAGGAATCTGTACTCTTGGCACCTTAAAAACGTATTCTTTACTGTTTTCCAAGCATAGTTTTGAGAGATTTACACAAAGTGACTCAAGAGCCTCCCTACACTATGAAATTGAAGCATGTTATGTTTCCAGATAATCTTGTAACCTCAGTGGGCAGAACCTTTTCCACATATACTAATGACAATGCGTATCAGATATAGGCCTGTGTGTCAAACTGTCTTCTTGGAAACCTAGATTCATACAGGGGACTCAGATCCAGGATGTGGCATCCCTCTTGAATGTAACAAGATTGTTGGGAATGCCAAGATTGACATCCCACTGGGCCTTTGAGGCTTCACTATAACAAATCTGCAGGAAGGAAGTAAATTAGAGGTTTAGTGACTAGCAAGGTAAAAAACCATTATCTTGTTGCTGTCCCACCTTTGCCCCACTTTCCGTGCATGACCTTTAACTACAGTTGGGTGTCTCCTTCCAGATACTTTTGACACATAGGCAGCTACATCTCCCTCACTATGAATATATTCCTTTATTCTACAAAGACTGCATTCTGTTTTAGCCATATTACATTTCGTGTGTGTTTTTCTGTGCACTAGCCTTCCTTCTAACGTGCTTTTTCCCCTCCTCACTAATTAGTGGCCTTTAAATGACAAACCTTGTTCATTATGGAGCCACCGAAACAATGATTTGGTTCTCTGCCATCTTAGCATTAATTTGACGGGCAGGAAGCATTTTCTATTTTTGGCTCTCTGTCCATGTCTGCTTATCTCATTGAGGAGTAATTTGGGCTCTCCTGCCACCTATACCCCCAGGCTGTGATTGTCTTCATTATTGCTCCCATTTTGTCTGGGAGTGTGTAGAAAGAGGATGGAGAAGGAAGAAGAGAATGGTGACACCCATGGTTGACAGAGAGTAGAAGTGCGAGTGTTTAAAGCAATGCTCTGACCTCTTGGCGTAGAATGTCTTGGGAAAAGGGATCCCCCGATCCAGTTTTTATTTTTTCATTAATATATGTTTGTAGTACATAATGATTGTGCTGCTTGTGCAGAGTTGGTACATGTGCATAACATACCTTAATTCTTTTTTTAAATTGCTTTTCCCTCCCCTTCCTCCCTTCATCTCTAGATCCTTCCCTTTTGCAAGACATCTATCTTCTCTTCTCTTATTATCTATCATTAATTTTACTCTTTATATTTTGGGTTTCATGTGTAAGAGAAATCATACAATATTTAAGCTGTGTGTCTGATTTATTTCACTTCACATTATGGTATTAAGATGCTTCCATTTTCCTACAAATGGCTCAGGTTTATCCTTCTTTATAGCAGAGTAGTACTCCATGTTTACAAATATCGTGTTTTTTTAACCCATCCATCTGTTGGATCTATAAGCCATTGGAGAATAGGGTCTTGCACCTTACCCACATGATGTGGACTTGGTAGGTGCCAGTGTTGCCCATGGCTAGTCTGGCCAATTAGGGTTCCTAGTACTGGAAAAAAAAAAAAGAAAAAGAAGAAAAGAAATAAAACTTAGCAATATTGCAAATTATTTAGGGACTAGAGAAAGTAAGCGTAACTAACTCATAACTTTGCCATTCTAACCATTCTCATTTTGATGTATTTCTTGTAGCCTTTGGTGGTAGTAGAAGGTAACCAGGGATTGAACCCAGAACTCTCACACCGAGCTATATCCCAACATTTTTTGTTTGTTGGTTTGTTTGTTGTTTTTCTTTTTGAGACAAGTTCTTGCTAAGTTAATAAACTGTCCAGACCGGACTCAAACTTGCAATCCTCCAGTTCAGTCTCCCAAAGTGCTGGGATTATTAGGTGTGTGCCACCACCACACTTGGCTTTCTAGTGCTTATAGTTTTTTTAAAAATGAATACGTTCTTATTTGATGTTTCCTATGGCTCTTTACTTGGAAGAAACATTTAAAGGTACATGTCCACAAAGCACTTTATCTCAGTCATCATTCTCTAGAACACCTCATTGAAGCATAATTGCTCATAAAATGGGAAACTTACATTAGATCAAATTGTCAGAGAAGGGTGTTTAACCGTTTAACTTTTATTTAGTAGCTGAAAAGTGACATCATATTTTGGACTCTGTTTTTTTCCCTAGTACTGCATTTATGGATGGAACAGAGAGAATATTGAGCTATATCCCCAGCCTTTTTAATTTTTAAATTTTGAGACAGGGTCTCAGTAAGTTGCTAAATTGCCCAGGCTAGCCTGGAGCTTACAGTCCTCCTGTCTCAGCCTTCCACAGTGCTGAGATTATAGGTTTCTGCCACCATGCCTGACTTGGGTTTTTTTTTTTTTTTTTTTTTTTTTTTTTTTTATCCCATTGTCCTTTCCTGATGCCTGACCCCAATGAGGAGGAGCCCATCTAGTCCTAATGTCTAGTTCATCTAGATCTAATATCCTAACGTTACGGTTAAAGGAACCCAGGGATATCTGGGACATGAAGTTAATGCCAGATTTGAGTCCTGACCCTGCTACTCACTGGCAGCATAGTTGTGTGGCTTGGGGCAAATGCCTTAACGTTTTTGAATCTCAGTTTCCTTATCTATAAAATGAGGGCTTAAAATAAAGCCCTTCCCTAGAGGTTTTGGTGAGTAAATATTTATGAATTGTGACTCGCTCTCCAGATGGCAGGGATCATTATGCACATTGCCTGATTTGACCTTGCTTACTCTCTGTGTTCTTAGCGGATGACCATCAGGCTCTCATCTGGGACATCCAGCAAATGCCCCGAGCCATCGAGGACCCTATTCTGGCCTACACAGCTGAAGGAGAGATCAACAATGTGCAGTGGGCATCCACTCAGCCTGACTGGATCGCCATTTGCTACAACAACTGCCTGGAGATCCTCAGAGTGTAGTGTTGGTGGCGACTTACCCACATGGCTGGGGCTTGTGTGTTTCCCACCTCGGCCCCACTCCAAGTAAGAAGAAACATATTTCCAGTGGCCAGTATGTCATTCTTTGCTTTGCACCCACTGTTTCCAGAAGCTGCTCTGTGAGTGTCTGGCCAGTCACTTGACATTCTTTGTGCCAGACTCAGTGCTGTGTGGTTTCTCCTCGGCCCAGAGCTGAGTTTTAACATTTCTCTCTCATTTCTTTTTTCCTTTGTTTCTTCAATTAAATATGTCTATGTATTTGTTTGTCAGCTGTTGTTAATGAGCAGTACAAGCACTGGCTCTGTTTGTATCCATCTGCCCCAGTGTCTGTTTGCTGCCAAAGGCAGTGGTTCATATCTTGTCCCTGTCTGTGTTCGTGTTAGCACTTAAGTGGGAACAAATACCAACTTGAAGTAGTCTTTCCTCCTAAGTGTCAGTGTCTTTAACAAATCTCAACTTTGTATATTTTTTATCTATCAGGCTAATTTTTTAATGAAAGTAATATTGCTCTTCTGGTTTCTTCTTTGGTTTTTATAGTCCCTTTGTTTTGCATCTTTCTCTCTTTTCTCAGTGCCTGGAGCAGGCACTGGATCCTTGACCCTGTGCACAGTTTGCCTTCCGGCGTCATTGCTGGAGTGGCACATGCCTGACCAGGAGTCCCAAACCACTCTGGTGCTCTGAAGTCCACCAACTCACCAATATTTTTTCACTGCATCTCTTCTCAAGGCTCTTTTGGGCTCACAGGAAAGACAAGCTCCTCTGTCTGGCTTCACGGGTGTCTTCTAGGCATTTGCTAGAGCTGAGCTAAGCAGCTGATTGGGGTAGTGGGGCAGGCTGGAGAGGAATCACTTCAGGAAAGCTGAACTTAGAGCATGGATACAGTACAGAGTTTCAGAGTTTGGTTTTCCCTTTAGTTATAAATCCCAGGCCACTCCATTCTGGGACTTGTATGATAAGCAAGAAAGATCTCTAAGCTGAACTTTGGTGTTTCGGTTTATTGAGTTTCCTGTGGCTGGTGGAATATTGGTCCCTCTTTGGATTGAGTGCTCTGAGTGAGAGTCTTTCTGAGAGGAAAAGACACTCTGACACTGTATGAGTTCTTCAGAAACAGAGAGACAGGCAGCTGTTTTGGGGGGTGGACTAACTGGATGTGATACCCTGAGACATCAAGTAACTAGCTTCAGAAGAATCATAGGCCCCAGAGTCAGTCCAAGAAAAAGTCTACTCACCCCTGTCAAACTCCTCATCCCTTCTTTCTGAGCAGTATTGAACTTGTAGTCTTCTGTTACTTGTTGACTTACAGGCTGCAAGTGTCTTTTTCCGTTACATAAATAGGTTTCATGGAGGGGACTTACATGTAATTCTGATTTTAGATGAGTTCTTGGGGGGAGCAGAATTTGGGACTTACACTGAAAAGAGTTTGCCTGGCTTATCATGCTGTGTCTAAGTGCCTGAAGGTTTTTGGGACCTTCTGAGTTGTTCATCTGAGATTAGGAGGGTAGTAAGCCTACAGCCAATGGTTTTGTTCACCTAGGCTCTCACCTGCTTAAGAAATAAGTTAACTGTATTCTTCTGGCTCTTTAAACTTTTCTGGCAGAGTCTTTCCTTTCCACAACTGATGTAGTTTTATAGCAGAAGTCATAGCTTGCTCTACTACACGGAGGCTTATCCCAAAGGAAAAGATTTTATTGTTGGGGTATTTCTCCCTTTGAGCATCTTCGTTGCTCTTTTTGTTGTGGGATTCTGGGTGGCCATCTGCTGCATTTACCACCAGATTTTCACTGCATTGATTGGAGATATAAAGCAAGCAGTTTGTGGTCAGACCCTTCCTCTGCTTTTAATTGTGTTTAATGGTGATTATAGGGACTTCCTCTCAGAGGGGAGTAAGTTCGGCTGATAGCTGCTGTCCTAGGCGGCCCCACTTCTTTCTGTGGAGAAGTTCTTTGATGGGAGTTGATATGGTTAGCAGTGGCTGGACCTGCAGGGTGGGCATGGGGGGCTGGTCCCCTGAGTTCTTAGTGGACTTAATCCTGGTCTGAGTGGCAAGGAGATTTGTCAACTGAAACTCGAAAAACATTAATTCAGAAAATTAATTAGCAGTGGCTATTTGCATAGATTTGAATGATGAATTTTCCCCTTGGCCTGTGGACTCCCAGACTTATCATGCTTCTTTAGGCCCTTCAGTGTAGTCCTGTTCCTCTGCACCTATCTGCAGCCCAGGTGAGACTCTCTGCTCCTTCAGCAAACCCATATGTGCCCACAGGTTTTAGGTTCTGGTATTTTGAAGTCCCAGCTCTCACCTTCTCTTTATACAAACAGATGGCCTGTTGCCTGAGGAAGAAATTTCTATAGTCTCAAGATATGGAGCCTCTAACTGGCTGTTCTCCAGAAACAGATCTGTTGTAGTTTCAAAAGCAAGCTGAAGAGCTCCCATCTGCTTTCCTCAAACAGGTTGTAGGGCTTGCTGTGGGGGCACCTCTGGTTTTGGGGCAGCTGTGATGCCCCCTTTGATGCCCTTAACAGGCCAAGCCATGGGTACAAACAGACCTGCTCTGCTGAACAGCAGAAGGCTGGATCAGTTAGGCCTGAGAACCTAACGGTATGAGTCCAGGGCATTTACACACGTTGAGTTTTTACACTCTAGGGGTTAGGACCTCTCCTTCCAAGGAAGAACTAACCTGCAAGGTTAAGACTTAAAGAGGGCTATATTTGATCACTGAATGACAACTTCACATCAAATCCAGGATCAGCTCCCAGAGAATCGGCTAAGACTCAATAAAAACGTAAAAATTCAGAGTCCTACAATGTTTTGCCAAAACTTGTATCTGAAATGTTGTAAGATTTAGGAAGTAGGAAAAGTCAGTGGTATTTCTTTGGATTAAGGGAGGAAATATTAAAAGGCACGTAAGGTCTCAGGTGGGGAACCATTCAGATTTGTATGACTGCAGAGTGCATACATGCCCTCAGCCTGGTCACCCTTCTTAGAATATTAATCAGGCATCTGTGGTGCTGGGGAACTGTGAGACATAGTGACAGCTCAGGGAAGGAAACCCTTTCTGCAGCAGGCAACGGTAAGTGAAAATCTGCAAGCATTGGGTGTCCCATAGCCATTCCAGATCATAGTTATCATTAGTTGTAGGTTTGTACAGAGGTGGTAAACAGTCATGTAGACCTTAACTGCTTTTTTTTTTTTCTTTCTTGCATTGTTACACTGTAGAACTTTCTCCTTGCTGTGACATGGTCCTGAATTCCTAGGCTTAAGGACATACTGGAGCTCCAGGGTTTACCAAACAAGGAAGGGCAGCCCAGAATTGCATCTCCACTTTCCTCACTTTGAGAATATGATAGTTCCTCTGACTTCTGGCTTGGGAAAAGGGGTACCATTGAAGTAGAATCCTTTGAGCACACTTTTCCCTTTACTCTAGGATGAAGGAGGAGGGCTATACTTGGGACTTAGGTTGGGTTTTCTGGAAGAGAGCTGAGCTAAGCAAAGTCACCATGAGTTATAGCCTAGGCTTTTTGGCAGTTATCGTCTCTGCCCTGGCTACAAAGGCACCAAGAGTGTCTTGTGTTGCGGAGCCTTTTCCACTGCACCCACCTGTACCCTCTCCTCTTCCCACTGTTACTGTTGCTGCTAATGGTCAAAGTCAAATGTGTGGCCACATGGGATGGGTTAGATCCTGTTGGGCTACTTTCTGGATGTCATTTTTTTTTTTACAATGTGGAAACATATAGGTGCCTTTCTAAAGAGGCTTGGACTGGTATGTCAAACCAGGAACAAATAAGCTAAGAAAGTTTGAACTCCAGAAGGAAGATACTGACAGTGTGTGACAGCTGGAGAATGTACAAGCACCCACCTTTGGGACAACCCAGTGAAGATGAACTTGTGGTATCTACTATTGAAAGAAATGTTCATGCTTTGGGTTGTGTTATAAAAATTGTTCAACTGAAGCTTCAGATTACTTTAGTCCAGTATGAATCACTTGCTTTGGTTCCTTGTATTTTATGGCCCCTCTGTCAGTGACTTTCCCTCATCCCCTCTTTGAGTGTGAATTTGTAGCATGATTGTATAAACCTCTATGTAGAAGATGGAGATTTCTTGTTCTCTGAAATGTTAAGCTCTAACCTCTGTGCCCTTTAGCCTAGTGTGTCTAAACTTACTTTCTTGTTACATATTTAAACTTTCCCTCTGTCCCATAGGTTTTGTGGCATCCCCTGGTCAGATGGAGAGGAAGCTGCTCCTTGCCGAACTGTACTGTAACCATTTTCTCTTATAAATATTATTTTCACAGGACTGATTGTACACAGGGCTTGTAATAAAATTTTAACACTGTGCTGTGAAACCACGCAGAGGAATCTCCACTGACGGCACTACGAAGGCACCTGAAAGTGGAGTCTTCTTTCTATGACTTTTATTTCATTTCCTAAATACATTAAACCTAATTTTCACCCTTTCATTTTGTTTCAGCCTCCTGTATAAGAAGTACTGTATTTTCTGCCCATCATACTTTGTAATAAAATTTGAACATATGTAGATGAATTTCCTCTTGTGATGAATTCAGTCCTTCCTGATTTGTTTCGCAAACACTGGTCAAGGAATTAGATTCTGCCTCTGCCTGTTACATTTGTCACTCATTGTCTTTTTTGGGGGTGAGGGGCCAGGGGGTGTGTTTGTAGCACATAATGATTCCATTCATAATGGAGTCATTGCTTTTTTTTTTTTTTGACTCACCTTTTTGTCTCCTATTTGGTCACTTGTTAGTTATTCAGTTAACAAAAGACAAGCATCTACTCTATCAAGGGCATGACTCTTAAATTTCGTGTACTGTATCAAAGGAGACTTCTTAACATTCAGATAAAGAGACATTTGACAGTGTTCTTCAAGATCAGAGGTAGGCTCAGAAACTGTCAAAGAATGAAGAATGCCTGCCTTGAGTTTACATGTTGGTGGGTTATGTGTGAGGAATGGTGGCAAAAGTGGCCAGAGAGCCAGATCAGGGAGCGTCTTGAAAAAAATGTGATACCTTACACTCATATTTTAAAGTTTGGAAATTCTACATGGAGGGAATTCATGACTAGAGTTCCATTGTACAAGGGTAGGCAATGAAGAGAGAGCCTCTGAGAGGGTAGTGAGAAGGGAAGATCACATGTTACAATAACATAAAAACCTGAACTGAGGTAGGAAAAAGCAGAGAGGGAGAGGATGGAGCATGTCATGGGAGGTAAGAGATGAAATAATCAGAATTCAGTAATCTGGGTATGGTGGTAAACGCCTGGGATCCCAGCACTCTTGGATACTGAGGCAGGAGGATCACAAGTTTGAGAGCAGCATAGGCAATTTAGTGAATTGGCAAAACCCTGTCTCAAAAAATGATTGGGGATGTAGATCTGTGTGAAAGCCCTAGATTCAATCCGTAGTACCATCAAAAAAGAAAAAGGTATTCAGTAATCTATTGGCTATGAAGAAAACAGGTAACTCCCAACTTTTAGATCTGTGTTTGGACCCTAGGCTCTGACAGCTGACCAGGAATTTCAAAATCCAAATCGGTTTCCCAAACTTGTGCCTCAACATGGTAGGAAGGGAAGGGCTTTATATACTACTGCTATTCCAATGTCATGTGTCCTAGATAAATATAACTTGCTCCCATTTATTTTTAATTATTTACTCATGGTAGGAGGCCTCTTTAAGGGAAAAGAAGAAAGGCAAACTAAATCAGTATTCAATAAGTTCCTGCCATTGTGTTGCAGGATGTGGAGCTCTGAGGCTGTGAGTCTGTGAAGAGGGGTGGATAGTTTGGAGAATTCTGCGCATCTGCTGGCTCCATTGGAATTATGCTATATGATCTGACAGTGCATAGTTTATGGGAAATACATGATTTCCTGTTTTAGTAATTGATTTTAGTGGTACTGGGGATTGAACCCAGGGCCTTGCACATATGGTATTAGACAAGTATTGAGACAGGCTTTTGCTAAATTTCCCACATTGACCTTGAACTTACAGTCCTCCTGCAGTACTCCTGAGTAGCTGGGATTACTGGTGTGTACCACCACACCCAGCAAACTCACTGGCTTTAAGGAGAAAGTTGAGACAGTAACATTGACTATAATCCTGATAATCTCAGCCCATAATGATGAATCTTTTAGAGCTTTTAATGATACAAGTTAGCCCACCGTGGACTAGGGGTATAGTTCAGTGGCACAGTGCCTGGCTGGCAAGTACAAGGTCATAAATTCAATTCCTGGTGCCACAGAAAACCAGCCCATCATGACAAGTGTACCATAGGTTTGCCACCACTGGTCTTGGGTATGCATTTGGACCAAGCAGAATAAAAGTTATACAAAGTCTTCTCCACTTTGTAACTACCTCGTATAGAACATATGACTTCTAAGTCACTTAGAAGAGGGCTGTTTTGTAGAATCACCCTAGAAGTAGCATCCTTCTATTTATATCTGCCAGACTTAGTTCTAACATAACTGCAAAGAAAGTCAAGAAAGAAAAAAATAAAGTGATGAGTGAATAGTAATATCTCTGCAGTACCAGGAACTGGCAAAGTTGGTGTCTGGAATATTTGCCAGTGTCATTTCATTCCTTGAGAGCTGTCAGAGTTAGACAACACATGTTTGAGCCTAATAGATACTTCAGGCAGTCTTTTATCTCCAGTACTCCCTTTTAGATAAGTGACTTCAATGATCCTTAACAAGAAGCCTCTAAAGATGATTCAGTCACCTATGAAGTTATCTCAGGAAAGTAAGTAATAGATTGAGAAAGGTAAAATCTGCCCTATCTTATCACAGATAAGACACAGATAAACAGACACAGATAAAGGACTCAGGCATGGCTCCATTGGGGAGCACATGCCTCACCTGTGTCAACACATGGGTTCCAGCCCCAGGATTGGGCTGTGACGACACTGCTAAAAACAGCAAGAAAGCTAATAGGAAATAGGACTGTTACCCCAAGCACACACTCCAATTTAAGAACTTTCTGTATGACTAAAATAAATTTTTCTGGAGAATCTTTTTTAAAACTAGCTGATAAATTTTCCTGTTTAAAGTCAGTGAGGGGCTAGGGATTTAGCTCAACAGGCATTAAGTGCCTGCCTTGCAAATGTGTGGTCGTGAGTTCGATCCCCAGTACCGATTTAAAAAAATGTTCAAATAAAATGGTCAATGACGATAAAGCCTTAGGTTTTGTTTGGTCTGTGTGACTCAAATTTTCCTGAGATATCTTGTTCTTTAAAACTAGCTGACAAATTTTGCTGTTTAAAATGGTCAGTGAGAATAAAGCCTTAAGTTTTATTTGGAAGAACTGCCATTTTGACGTAGAAAAACAGACTAGATTTCCAACCCAGACAAGCACTTCTAAGCAGCAATTTCTGAACACAACATTCCACATTTAACTTGCTGCGTCTAAAGAAATGGATCTGGGTCCTTTTTGCACTCTAGGGCTGATGTTCACCCCTTTTCACATAGCTATGTATTCCTCTGAGCCTGTCAAACTTTCATTTAAATTTCTTGAAACTCCAGCCTCCTCATAATTCTACAGTAATCATCTTTTCCTGTTAGGTGAGACTCCCCACCATTCCTGGTGTATGGTCTCCTCTGTTACAGTGAGATAGCAAGCCTGACTATTGGACTACTGCCTGCCAAGTTCTGGGTGATTGAACAAGGGCAACTATAAATCTTCTTTTGGCCTTGATGCTTGTGATCATAAATTCCAGTGGAGAAATCCATTAATTTTCTTTTTATTACTAAAGTAACACAGTGACTTATGAAAAGTATACTGTAGTACTCTCATACTATAGTAGCACATGAAAAGATGCTCAATATCATTAGTCATGAGGAAAATGCATTCAAAACCGAAATGATACAATGCACCCCCCAGGTGGGTGTAACTAGACAAAAAGAGGACAATCTTAGGATTTGGAGAAATTGAACCATCATACCTGCTAGTGAGAATGTAAACTAATGCAATCATTTTGGAAAACAGTTTGGCTCTCCTTTAAAAGGTTAAACAATTATGAGCAAGAAGTTCCACTCAAAAAAAAAAAAGAAGTTCCACTCCTAAGCATATTCCCAAGAGAAGTAAAAACATCTTCACACAACACTATTAGCATCATTATTCATAATAGAAGTGAAAGCAATGTCTGTCAAGCGATGAGTAGATAAATAAAATCTGGTATACGAGATATGATAAAAATACACAGTGAATCTTTGGGGTTTTAAAAAATTGCAATAAAGGATATATTGGACCAAGTAACATTGACTATAATCCATTAATACTTGCCATCAGTTCAAACATACTTATCCCATCATTCTTGCCACTTTTTGAAGCAGTTCTGAAAGTTCTTTTTCTGTGGTGTCTTATGAGGTATGATAAAAAATGTGAATGCTCCTGCACAGTGACATCCAGCTAATATGGATATTGTGTCCTATCCGTATTAGTCACCAAATTTGCAGCTTTTGGTTGCATCAGTTCAGGACACTGAGGTAGCCATAACAGTGCAACTAAAGACATTCACAAATTAGGACCTAACTGCTTCAGAAAGTGGTAAGAATGATGAGATGAGATCAGTGTGATCAAAGTGAGAGGCAGTACCTTGCGGGGTATTAAAGGCAGTGTGTTTTGCTGTAATAAATTTTTAAAATCTACTGTATTTTGATACCATATCTATATTTATATATATGAACACATTAGAATAAAAATAATAAAAAGGAGTGACATTCATACACATTGCTATCTAAGTCCTGAAAGCATGCTAAGTGAAAAGCCAATCACAGAGAAGTATATAGTGTACAACTGTGTTCATAAGAAGTGTCTGGCAAATAGGGCTGTGGATTTAGCTCAGTGGCATAAGTGCCTGCCTGGCAAGCAAGAGGTTGTGAGTTCTATCCCTGGTACAAAGAGAAAGGAAAGAAAGATAGATCTGGCAAAGGAAAACTCACAGAAACCAAAGTAAACATTGCTTGCTGCTGTGACAAGAGGAAACAAAGTGGCTGATACTGGGCACAGGACTGCTTTTTGGAGTGATAAAAATGAGAAGTCAATTGTGTGATATTTAAATAACTCTGAATGTACTAAAATCATTGTAAGCTGGTGTTGTGGCACACACTTATAATCTCAGCACTGAGGCAGGGTAGCCTAGGCTACATAATGAAGTCAACATTGTATACTTTAAGTCAATGGCCTGGGTTATATGTTGAATATGGCAATGAAACTGTTATATAAAAATAACTGCATTGGGCACAGGAATTACAATCCTGCTCTCAAATAATTTAGCATTGTGGAAGAAAATATTTTAACAAAAAATTAAATTTTATGAAGATACGGACATACATGAAGGATTATGTGAGTAGGTCATCGGAGCTCAACTAGAGAATCAGTAGGTGCAGATGGAAAATGATACATGGGGAAGAATCTTGAAAGACGGGCCAGCAAAGACCTGAGTCTGCTTAATACAGGAACTGAGAAACATACTGGGAGCAGTCTGATGTTTCTAATCTAGAAAGTACAAGGAGGTTTCACTAAGTAACTTGAATAATAAACAATTTTTTTACTCACATTTTCTGAAGATAAACAATTTTTTTTTGTCTTTTTCATTTTTATCGGTACCAGGGATCAAACTCACGACCACCTGCTTGCAAGGCAGGTGCTTATGCCGCTGAGCTAAATCCCCAGCCCAGATAAACTATTTTTAATAAAAAGTTAATAATAAAAATTTGGGCTGAGGATGAAGTTTTATAGTAGAATGCTTGTCTACTATCCTTTGGGCATGAGTTTAAATCCCTAATATATACACACTTCATAAGTGAACTATAATTACAGCTAAAAATTCAAAGGAGTGATCTAAGAAGGCTTCACTGAGCAGGATGACAGTTCAACTAGGTATTGAAACACAATATTTTACTAGTGAAAAGCTGAAGGACAAGCCAAATCCAGGAACAAAGGTGATAAAAGGTTTGTACTCGGTGAAGAGTTAATAACTATCCTCTTCACCTCAGCCCACATACACAGCCCTCACAGAAATACAGCATCAGGACATGAGACCTGGGAGATAAGTAGATTGATTATGGAGGTTCTTTCGTAATAATATAAAATCTATGCCTGTGTGCTTTGTATTCACTTTCCCATTTAATTTTCCTAGCTATGCTACTTGTAAATAAAAACAAAGGAACTTGCCCGTGGTTACGAGTAAATAAAGCAGCAAGGCTTCGGAGCCCATCCAGTCGAACCCCTGCAGACAGAAATTTAATAATAAAAAGGAGTGACATTCATACACATTGCTATCTAAGTCCTGAAAGCATGCTAAGTGAAAAGCCAATCACATGGTCCTGCTAACACCAAGCTCTTTGGATTTAAGTCTCACCATGGAGCACCAATAAAAGACTTTTGCTACCTGCCACTTCATTTCTTCCCCATCTTCCTACTAATGACATTGGTTTTCCCTCTTCGGAAAGTAAATGCAAAATAAAAAGCGTATGGCTTCAAAAAGTTTGATCATTTTTCTTCTCTCCAAAAGCCCGTGACTCAGGTGAGCCTACTCCAAGGAGTCTCTCGCTTAGAAACTTGGTCCCTATTGTCACTGCTATTTACGTAAATTTATTTCTTTAAATCTCCAACGCCTTAAGTCGTGGTTTCAACTTCCTATGCTGGTAAAGTAGGTGGCAGTATCCTTATCTATAGAACGTTGGATTAGAAAGGCTAAATAAATAAGCAAGTCACTTTTCTGGCCGAGGTTTAATTAAACAAGACTGCCGAATTAGATATTCTTTTGCAAGAACAAAACATTTATCTTTGCGGACCTTCTCAAGAGTTAGGAAGGAATTTGGAAACAAAATCAGTTGCATAACTCAAGTGTATGTCTACGAGGTCACTGCGGGAAATAAAATCCGGCAGGCCCACCTCTCCCTCACCTCTAAGCAACCGGAGCCATCCAGAGTAGCTCCCTCCTGCTTCATGCTGTTCATAGGGCAAGCTAGGAACGTGTACCGCGCAGCGGAACGGACTTTGCGGTGGAGGGGATGGATTTTTGCAACGGAGCTGGGAAAGGAAGTGTGCTACGCCATCAAAGGTCCCCGCGCTCGGCTGCCGGAGGACGGTAAGAGGTCATTCACGGTTGGACAGTTCCGGGATGGAGTGAGCTTTTAACTTTCTGGAGGCTGGCAAAAGCGGCTGCAGCGTCAGAAGCTTCTTGTTCCGGAAGTAGACAGGACGCGTTGACCTTGCCCACACCAGTTTGCAGCTCGCAGCCCAGGTGCCGAGCCGATGGCGTCTTGGACTGCTGTTGGCTTGAGCAGGGCAGCTGCCAGATGCACTAGAGCTCGAGGCTCCAGTGTCTGCGAGGCAACTCCATGCGTCTTCCAGCCTAAGACCCCGGGCTGCGACTTGGCTCTGGGTAGGACGCTGCACCTCACCGCTGAGGCATCCGCCGGGCACAATAAGTGGTCCAAAGTCCGGCACATCAAGGGTCCCAAGGACGCAGAAAGGAGTCGCATTTTCTCTAAACTTAGTCTCAGTATCCGCCTGGCCGTTAAAGGTGAGAAAGTGACGGTCACTCACTCACTACTGGCTCTCAATATCCTCTCCGTGCTTATGGCCTTTCTTGTCTCTCTGAGCTGGGTCATCGCCCATCTGACCCCTAACTCTTTGTTTTCTTTTCCTTCCCCAATTGTTGTTTCTCACTTCAAAACACCTATCTAAATCTGATGTCCCCACTTACTTTTCTAGATAACTTTTCTTGTCAAGGAACTGCCCTTTGGAAGAGAAAAGGTAAAAATGACTTCATCCAAGTGCATATCTAGACGCTGTAGGCTTCATAGAAACGTCCTAAGAGTTAAATGGGACCTGTGTCTCTCCTGAAGAGACAAACCAGGCTCTCTGCAGTTGCCTGTAGTAGCATGTAGGTTGTGGCAGGGAAACTGAATAAAGTTATTCCTTGCTTAGGCCTCAGTTGTCATTAGGATTTCCTGAGGCACAGTTTTTTGAAAGGAAGGTATGTGGGGGCTGGGGATTTAGCTCAGCGGCATAAGCACCTGCCTTGCAAGCAGGTGGTCGTGAGTTCGATCCCTGGTACCGATAAAAATGAAAAAGACAAAAAAAAAAAAAAAAAAGAAAGGAAGGTATGCAATCTATTGCAAGCCATCCTAAAAGTCTACTTTCTTTTTAGTTTGACATCCATAGAAATAGAGGGAAAGCCCTATAAAAACCATAGCCTTATTAACCAGTAAACTTCAATTTAAAAAGAAAAAAGGATAGACAAATGGGCTGAGGATGTAGCTCAGTGATAGACTACTTGCCTAGAGTGCACTAGTCCTGGAGTTCGATTCCCAGCACCACCCAAAATTGGAGGAGGCAGATGCATCTGAACTTTGCACTTTGGATTTTGTCACTGACAAGCCTATGACCTTAAGCATATGGCTTAACTTTGCTGAGTTTGTTTTCTTTTCTCAAAAACAAGGAAAACGCCCACCAAAAGGTAATTTGGGGGCATATAAGCATTCAGTTAATGTTAATTTGCCTCTACAACTCATGCCTGATCCTTCTCTTTGTTGCTGCTGCTAGAAGTGTGAACCTAGGAACTACTGAGCTAAATGCCCAGCCCTCAATTTTTAGCTTTGAGATAGGATCTCACTAGGTTGCCCAAGTGAGATTCGAACTTGTGATCCTCCCTGCCTCAGTTTCAACAAGTGCTGGGATTATAAATGTGAACCATTGAACCCAGCTGCTGTTGCTCTCTTCTTTTTTCTTTTCTTTTTTTTTGGGGGGGGGGCCTTGTGATTGAACTCACTACCTTGCACTTTCCAGGCAGGCTCAGCTTCTTTTTAAAATCAAACCCAGAGCCTTACATGTGCTAAGAATTTTATTTTTGTTTTTGTTTTCAGTTTTTTGAGACAGAGTCTTACTACATATTTCAGGATGGCCTTGAACTCACTAGTCCAGGCTGGCCTCCAACTGGTGGTGATCTTCTTACCTCTGCCTCCCGGGTGCTGGGATGATAGCCATGTGCCTACGCCTGGCAAGAATTCTTGATATTAAGTTTGACTAACACTGTTGAGTGTTTATTTCATGTCTGGCACTGGTAAATCAAAGATTATAACAAGTCCTACTGTCAGAGACAGGATGAGTACAGTGTCATGTGAGCATTTCAATAATTATGCCCAAAGCAAAATACTGCAATAGAGTATGAACAAGGGGTATTAATACATTCAGGAAATATTGTTACTATCTCTCTTACCTCTTCATCTGATTAAAAGTAGAGTTCACTGAAACCTAACAGAATAACTATCCTAAAGGCAACATGAATTAGAAATTTCTTTTCCAAGATTCTTCTCTATTTCACATTGAAATACTGGATAGTGTTTCAACAATGAGCAAAATAGTAGCTTGCTATTGTTTTGGCTAGAAGGACTAGGAGTGGGCTGGAACCTCCTCCCCCTTTTTTGTAATAATACATCTTTTTTGTTTGTTTGGTTTTTGGCGGGATCAAACTCACTACCTCGTGCTTGCCAGGCAGGCACTTATGCCACTAAGCTAAACCCCCAGCCCATAATAATATGTCTTTCCTCGCTCTTTTTCTTTTTATCTTACCTCAGAGGGAGGCCCCAATCCTCAGCTCAACAGCAACTTATTCAACATCTTAGAAGTGTGTCGCAGCAAGCAGATGCCCAAGTCAACAATTGAGGCAGCACTGAAGATGGAGGTGTGTCCTCAGTTTAACATTCTTGTTATTGATTACGGCCCCACAGTGTGCATATTTAGAAGGCCACCAAATACTTCTTAAATTAGCAGAGAACGAGTAGAAATGTGGTTCACTACGTTGGCCCACAGGACTACAGGGATTCTCTGTCTGTGGCCACTGGTTGGAGAAGCACCATTGGGAATAGGATGGTGATCAGCGAGCAGAGATCCATATCCTAGGACTGCTTGGCCAAGCAGGAAGAGGTGTGAGCAAAGGGGAGGAGCTGGGGGGAAAGCTCTGATGTTAGACTGAGGAAAAGTTTATTTTTCTTTTTCAGACGTTTATGCTATAAAGAAAAGACAGTGGCAAGGGAAGGGGTGGGTGTGATGGTGGGAGGGGCAGGGATACTGAGCTCTGGTGAGGAGCCTACTTTTCTTTTCTTTTTTTTTTTTTTTTTGTCTTTTTCATTTTTATCGGTACCAGGGATCAAACTCGCGACTGCCTGCTTGCAAGGCAGGCGCTTATGCCGCTGAGCTAAATCCCCAGACCCGAGCCTACTTTTCTTGTAATACTGTAAAAGTAAGAAGGATCTGAGGAAATTAATTATTATTATTATTATTATTATTATTATTCTCCTAGGGATGGAACCCAGAGTTGCTCTATGAGTGAGCTATAGCCCTACGGCTTTTTTTTTTTTTTTTAACAGGACCTTGCTATGTAGTTCAGGGTAGCTTTGAACTCACTATGTAACCAAACTGGCCTTGAGCTTGCAGCAATCTTTCTGCCTCAGCCTCCTGAGTACTACTTGGATTATGGGTGTGTACCACTACACCTGGCTCCTAGGCCTTTTAAAAGGTTTTTTTTTATTTTGAGATTTGAGACAGAGTCTTACTAAGTTGCCCAGGCTGGCCTCAAAATCTTGATTCTCTGCCTCTGCCTTTCAGGTAGCTGGAATTACAGGGATGTGCCATCACCCCTAGCTAATAATCATTTTAATAGTAGTAGTTATTGAGCACTTGTTCCAGGTCAAATATCTTGATGAGAATTCTATATGCATTATATCAGCACATACTTCAAATGATGTTAAGTGGAAACTGAGGTACAGAAAAGTTAGGTGACTTGACTTAAGTTACACAGAAAATGACAGACTTGAAACCAGATAGCCAGATTCCAGCGCCTGTGCTCTAACTAGTACATATATTTTCTTCATCTAAGCATGGTAGGGACAGGATTTTTCTCATGTGGAGGCCCTGTGTTTCCTTTGTGAGAGAGAAGAGAAGTCATCAGTTGAAAACTCTTGAAAAAGTTCAAGAAAGAGTGCTTGGAGAGAATATGGAGATCAGTTGTATGGATGAGGGATGAGTAGAGGTATGGATATCCAGAAAAAACTGCTCATTAGAGTTCTGGTGTTTGAATTTTAAGATCAGTGGCTCTCATGCCATGGCCCAAGTGTTTGATTTTTCTGTAGCAATGTTCAGCAAAGCCCCAGAGGTAGGAGTGTTGAGACATTACAGGTGGGTTTTGTGTATTTTGATGTATAGACAGATTAATCATGAGAGCAGTGCCTAGAAAATTGTGAGATTTAGGAGGAAGCAGAGCTAGGAGATGGCTGATTATTGAGAGACCAGAAAATCAGACTTCCCAAGAAAGGCTAGTACTTCCAGGTACCTCAAAAGTTGATCCCAAAGGCCTCCTCAAGAGTGAGGACAAAAACTTGAGCCCAGAATCCAGCCTAAAGAGCCCATCCCATAGAGTCAACTTTGTGTTGCATGTGGTACGGCGCTAGCATGTGAGAGGAAATTGAAACCAAGAAAATGTGTTCATGATTCCTGTTATTTATTGCAGAAGACTAAAAGCATTTATTTGCTGTATGAGGGTCGAGGCCCTGGTGGTTCTTCTCTTCTCATTGAAGCATTATCTAACAGTGGCTCCAAGTGCCAGTCGGACATTAAACATATCCTGAACAAGCATGGGTAAGTGTGTGTCAGAGGGAGAGAAGGGTGGAAGGGAACAGAGCCTTTAGGGTCCAGTTCAATACAAGATAAATATCTGGTGGTCTTTAAGCACACTTCCTCCTTCACAAAATCCAATGACATTACTGATTTCCTTTACTATGCAAGATTCAAAACACAGGATAGTTGATTATCCCATCTGAAGCCAGGTCTTAAAATATTGCACCAGAGGGCTAGGGATTTAGCTTAGCGGCATAAATGCCAGGCTTTTTTTTTTTTTTTTTTTAATTTTATTTAAGGAGAAAAAAGAAGAAAAAAACAGAAAAAGGGTACAAGTTATACAGACTTTCAGAAAAAATAAACAGTAGGAAATCACTAGTTAATTACATATTGTCATCTTAGAAATAGTTGTTGAAGTTACAAAATTAAAGCATATAGAGGGGACTTTAAAACAGTGAGACTGCAAACAGTTTTGTTCAATGATCCAACAAAATTCAGTAATATGGTTATCTATCTTTAGAGAACTTTTAGAGAACTTTCTTTTCCTTTCTTTTTTGTACAATGACAATTACACATTTTGGGTTTTATTACTCCCACAGTTCTTATGACTTTTTTGAAGAAAGTAAAACCAAATGTGACATACCAGGACAGAGTCAGTCAAATCAAAAGGATGGACATAATACATAATGTAAAAACAAAATACACGGTGATCAACAATGGTTACCATACTGCCTCTTGCTATCTTAAGAAGAATTGCCTAAATCATCAGTTATAATAAAATTGAACAAAACAGTAAAGAATAAGATCAATAAAACCAAAACATTGGAGACATTAGAGGACTTCAAAAGAAGATAATAGTCAACCAGAATGGATAAATGCCAGTCTTGCAAGCATGCGGTCGTGAGTTTGATCCCAGTACCCATAAAAAAATATATATATATTGCACCAGGACTGATGTCTTAATGGAACAGGAAATGATAAGCCAAGTCTTTGACTCCTCCAGACTCTAGTCAGGGCAGATAATAGAGGGTAAGGATGATCCCTCTATTTTCCCTTACCCAAAGACAGCTGCACCTTCTTCAGGAAGGGACCTGCGCCATGTCTGCATGTACTCTGGATGCTGAGTGGGGAAGAGATGACATCAGAATGCTGTGCTTTGTGGAGGCTGACTAAAGGCATTCACACACTCCATCCTTTTTCATCTCCCGTCAGGGGAATGATGACTGAAGGAGCACGTCACTCCTTTAACAAAAAGGGGGTAGTCACGGTTGGAGTGGAAGACAGAGAGAGGAGAGCTGTGAGCCTAGAACGTGCACTGGAGCTGGCAATTGAAGCAGGAGCTGAGGATGTCCAGGAAGATGAAGATGAAGAAAATAACTTTTTTAAAGTGAGTAGGGAGGTTTTGTGTTGCCTGGGCTCCTGAGAGGGCTTCAATAGATGCTTTAAGGCATGCCTCTTAGTTTCTTTCTTTCTGTGCCCCAGGGTACAGGTAAGGCAGACTCTTCACATATTACACAGCTACTAAGTGAATATTGGATGGGACCTGCCCTTCTGAGGATGATGAGAAAGATTCAGAACCTTGAAAACTGAGTGATTCATTGAAAATGGTGGTTGCATTTATGACTTTGTGAAGTTCTGGCTGGCCTTGTCTTGTTACTGACTTGCTCCTCACTTCCTGACTCCTTTCTGTCTAGTTTATTTGTGATGCCTCTTCGCTGCATCAAGTGAGGAAGAAGCTAGACTCCCTGGGCTTGTGTTCCATGTCCTGTACACTGGAGTTCATCCCCCATGCAAAAGTGCAGCTGGCTGATGCTGACCTGAAGCAGGCTGCTCATCTCATCCAGGCTCTTGTCAACTATGAAGATGTGATTCATGTCTATGACAACATTGAGTAACCAGACTGTATATGCCCTTGGGCTCCTTCCTGGGCAAGTGTCAATCATCCTGGAGCACAGGCTTCTGCAGCAATCTCTGAGATGGAAGCAGGTAGGAAGCATGGCAGATTAGTCCTAAGGCCAGGTCTTATGGCCTTGAGGCCAAGGAAATTCCATACTTCACTGTGGCTTCTTTGTCATCTCTGCTGGTGTCTCAGACCTCTTGAATGCAGGGTGGAATCATTCAGTTGGTGTGACTAATCTCAGGTGGTTGGCAGTTGTGGGGACAGTAAATACCCCAAGGCCCTGTGTAATAGCAACTGCTGTTTTACTTTTTCTAAGACAGGGTCTCACTGTGTATTTCAGTCTGGCCTTGAACTCACTATGTAGCCCAGACTGAACTCAAACTTGAATCGATCCTCCTACCTCGGCCTCCCAAGTGCTGGGATTATAGGCATGAGCAATCATGCCTGGCTTGGAACTGCTTTTTAATAGTAACAGTGGTTGATCTGGGTTACTGTATTGGTTTTGTATTCCTTTTTAGTTGTCTTGAGTTTGTGCCTGGTTGTCAGGACCTATAGATTTAATTTTTAGGTCTCTAGGCTTAGTACTCTATTCTAATACTAGACTGTTATTTATTTATTTTTTGATAGTGGCTGGATCCAAGCATTCTGTGGCCTATTGCTGGTTTAGTTGTCATTCATTCATGTAACAAATGTTCATGAACAAGCTGAAAGAAAAAAATATATGTCTATGTGTATATATGTATATAAAAAGTTAAGATAGTTATTACTGATTTCTTTGAGTTCGCTGAAGAGAAAAATTTGTACTGGTATTGTTCAGACAATTAAAGGCAGATGTCTTGTGCTTTGGGTGAATGACTTGGGGATGACAATGCATGATGTATGTACCATTGTTACCCCATTTGACATGCTTTAAAATTTTGTTATAGTTTTTTTTCTTTCTTTTTATCTATGAATAAAATGGATTTGGAAAAGAAAAAAAATGTTCATGAAATTTCCATGACCATGGGAATACTGACCATGTACTAGGAACTCTACTTATCTAGAGCACAGACTGCTTAATTGGCCCTACACTGAGCAGAAATAACCCTACATTCTGCTCTAAGAGGGGACCTCAGAAGGAAGATGCAGGGCTGTTCTTTATAGGAACAGTGTGTGCTATTAGTATGCATTTTTGTTCTCTTTGTGTGACTTTCATACCCTTCTACCACAGAGCTTACAGCTGTAGCCCAGAGGAAATTAGGCACTGGTGATAAGGGACTCCCAGGCCCCTGTGTTGCATGGCCTGCTTGGATCCTGACATTGGTCAGAGTAGACCTATCAGTAGATTAGGCTACTCTCTTGCCATGACCAGTATGGCTCTTGAACTTCCTGGGGTGAGAACTTTGATGGGTAGCAAGAAGGTGAAGAAATGAAAACAAGATACAGAAAGCTGGATCAGCCAGGTGCCGTGGCACATGCCTGTAATCCTAGCACTTGGGAGGCTGAGGCAGGAGGATTGTTGCAAGTTCGAGACCAGCCTGGGCTACAGAGTGAGTTCAAGGTGGGCCTGAACCGTATAGTGATACTCTGTCTCAAAAAAAGACCAACAAAGAAAAAAAAGAAAGCAAGCTGAGATCAGATGGCGCCCTCTTTTCTGTTGATGAACTGCTCAACAACTGCAGTGCATTTATTTATACACTTGGCAGGCTGATGTTAAGCAAAGGGATTTCACCTGACAACTATCTTGCCTTTCATGTCCCATGTTCTCAGAGCCAGAACACCTGTTTGCTTCTGGTGCCCTGTGCTCTCGGCTCCAAGTTTGTGAATGATCTCCAGCTCAGCCACTCCTGACATCTCCTCCTTTTCTGTTTTGTAGTTGCAATTGCTGAGTGGTTAGTTGAAACTGGAGCTGTGTTTGGAGGACTCTGCAGATGATTTTCTTTATTGTGGTTATATTTTTCTGCTGGATGTTCAAGACCAAGTTTAAATGAGACTTGCATTAATTAATTTTTTGCTTTTTTTTTGGTCTTTTTCCTTTTTATCGGTACCAGGGATCGAACTCATGACTGCCTGCTCGCAAGGCAGGCGCTGATGCCGCTGAGCTAAATCCCTAGCCCCAATTTTTTGCTATTTAGGTCAGTTAGTTGCCTCAGGATTTACCTTGAACCATGCATAGTGCCTCTCAGTTCTTCTGTCAATGTCAGCTGCTGGATGAGTCATGGCCATTGCTTGACCAAGGTGCTTTCTGTGAAAGCTTGGGAGACTTGAGACTTTTCTCTCCCGGTGACTCTCCTTAGGCACATAATTTACTGTTGATTTCCTTCCTCTGTGGTCCCACAATCTTAGTTAAGAGTTTCATAACTCATCAGAGTAGTAGGCTGTCACTAAAAAGGTTCCCTCCTATCCTGGGTATTTGTTTACCTTGGAGGGCCAGGGCAAAAATATTGGCTGTCCTCTAAGCTCATCTATTTTTCTAATTTTTGGTTTCCAAACCTCAGTTGCTGAATATCCAGAAGAGGTTCATGACATGACATTGTAATAGGAGCAGTGAGATTAACATAATAATTTTATCTGAATATGAAGTACTTTGAGATACAAAGTAGAACTGTTATTTCTACTTAACCACTGACATTCTAGTAGTTGAATTCCTATTGGATGTTAACAGATAACAGTTATACAGTATTACACAGAAAATTTGAAATTAAAAGCCATATATAATATTGCAGCATGACAATCATGATGACATTTTGTAATGTACTTAAATTTCCATTTTGACAAGTATAACCTTTATAATCAATCAACTCTATCTAATACATAAGAAACTTGTACCTAATTTGTTGACATCCCCTCTAATGGGATGTCATTAAAATGTGTGACATTGTCTGGACTGTTTAATATCTAGGCATCTCTAGTAGCACATACATCTCATACATTTTTGTTATTACTGACAGGTGAGCCCATGTTGGCTTGACATGAACTTTCTGTCACAAGCAGTTGGAGCACAAAAGAAAGGCAAATGTCTGAATCTGAGAGAAAAAGTCTATCACTATAAAGAATCCTGTTTTACATCTTGGAAGACCTGTGCATCTGGAGGCATGAATACATTTCATGCACCATGAGATTAATAACAATCCTCATAGCCATATGAAACTTTTCTTAGTTTAGTTTTGCACCAGAACATCTTTAAATCAGAAAATCTTATTGTCTAGAAAACTTAATCTTTTGACGATGATGGATATAAACTTTTTTTTTTTTTTTTTTTGGTCTTTTTCCTTTTTACCGGTACCGACTATTGAACTCACGACTGCCTGCTTGCAATGCAGGCACTTATGCTGCTGAGCTAAATCCCCAGCCCCGGATATAAACATTTTTTGAGCAACTTTTTTGGGGTGTCTCCCATAAGGCAGTAGAGATTACTGGGGCTTCCTATTAATGAACAAAGGCTGGGATAATTTTTCCTCGGGAGCTGCTCCTTTATTCAACAATTGGAGTCCTGTCCAATAATTTCTCCCCACCCTAAGGAATTTTAGTAATTATTTTAACAATTTTTTGGTGACCTCCGAAAACCAAATCATATCACTTGCCACTTATTATGAGCAACAAGAAAACTCTCAAGTCATAATAAAGAACAATATTCATTACATTTATAAAACCAATTTTAACATCACTTCAACCAGCTGGCAACTTTGGTGAAAGCATGTTATTTAAATCTATAAGCTAGAGCTGGGGAAATGGCTCAGCAGCACAGTGTCTGCCTGTCAAATACAAAATCCCAAGTTCAGTTCCCAGTACCAAAAAAAAAAGTTTATAAGTCAAATTAAATTACAAACAATTGATCCAAAAATGCAAAAGAAAAAGAAGAAAAAAGAAAAACAATGTTGAGCTCAAATTTTAAAGAAACAGCTGTTTACAGAATGGACTAACAGACAAAAACAAAACAACAGATATATAAGCAATTTGAAGATCAGAGTGCATTCAAAATATTTTCTTAGCCAAGTTGAATTATAATAACTCTTTTTTACAATTTTAGAAGTTTGTAATTACAAGTAGACTTGTCAGAATTTCTGTGGGTCAATTAGCAGAGATCTTTTAAGAATTTGGAAGGAGGGGATTTAGCTCAGCAGAGGTAGGTTTGGCAGTTCAATCCCAGGTACCAAAAAAAAAAAAAAATTTTTTTTGGAAGGAACAAAATCTTTTTATCTATTAGGGAAGGATTCTTTTTATTTTTTGTAATTGAACTGTGAGCTTATGGGGAGCACATTCAACAACTCCTTGACCTTTAGGATTATAAGGAATTCCTTTTTGTAAGGGAAATGTGAAAAGTTTTACAAAACATTGGGAAGGCAGCACTTGTATAAGCTGGGCTATTGTCAGTCTTTAAGTGCCTGTGAGCAGCCACAGGTGCCAGAGGTATGCACTGTGGGCCCTGGCTCCATTGCCACCTAGTAATTGGCAGACCGCAAAGTCTCAAGAGTGTCATGGATCACCCAGGGTAGCCATAGCAGCAGAGCCAAGTGAGGCTGTCACTGTCTGCCATTGCTTGCTCACCTGCCCACCTGCTCTCTCACCCACTGGCTCAAGAGCCTCCAGTTGCTGAGGAGCGTGGTGAGAGTGCCATGGCATAGGTCAGCTGATGGTTTAAAGGCTCAGCTGTGCCCCCAGGAGCTTGTGCCACAGCATGTGATGGGGGAGCAGCCACACTTTTGTGCCTCTGCCCATCCACCATGGCCTATAGCAGCTTGCAAACACCAATTCTGTGGCACCAGTCCCCTGTGGCACCAAGTCCGACCTGCCACACCAACCTGGGTAGGTATTTGTGGGGCCGCAGCACGCCCTGCTGGAAGTTTCCTGGAAAAGGTCGGCCTTCCACATCAGTTTTGGATCTACTCATTTGTCTATGATATACCTTCGTCTACATTTTGTACAGATACTAGGTTTTGTTGAAGGAACACATAATGACTGTGCTGCCCTTGTAGGTGCAGCAGAGAAATTTTGGCCAAAATGTTTCCAACTCTTCACAGCTGAAAAAAGTAACTTTTATTTTTTTCCCTTTTCTCTAGACTGTGGATGAATAACCTGAGTGATAGTTGCTGCCAAGGTAGCTCCTTGTACATATGAGGGGGTCACTGTCTATATGAAGTTGAATCATCTCAGACGGTATGGTCCATTTATGGGCTTGTAAACCTCTTTATAGCATTTATTTATATTTTCAGAGATCAATTGTTGAACAGTTAATTTAAAGGATGATTATTCTAAGAAGGGTGGAAGTTTTAACAAACAAATACCGCAGAATTTCTCTGAACTGAAAAGGTGAAAGTTGCCACTTGTGGTTCAGTTAAAGTTACTGATTTACCTTGGGCAGCTGTGAAACTGAAGTTGTAGTGAAACACTCCTCTCTAGTGGGCTTTCGTCCCCACAGCTCCTTTCTTCTTTATTTTTTTGTACTGGGAAGCCAACTAACAGCGTTGTGCTTACCAGGTAAGTGCTGTGCCGCTGAGCTAAAATCCCAGGCCTCCTTCCTTATCTGATTGAGCAGAATAGAGAGTTTAAACTATATCAGGGCTCTGGACTTGATTTATTTTATTTATTTATTTATTTTGTACTGGGGATTGAACTCATGACCTTGCACTTGCCAGGCAAGCACTTACACCAGTGAGCTAAATTCGCAGCCCCATGGACTTGATTTTTTTTTTTTTTTTTTTTAAATCAGTACCGGGGATCAAACTCATGACCGCCTGCTTACAAGGCAGGTGCTTATGCCGCTGAGCTAAATCCCCAGCCTGTTGTGGACTTGATTTTAAAATAGTGCTATGAGCCAAATCATCTGTGTTCATCTGGACAAGCATATTAAGACACTCTGTAATCCAAGTCCACACACACAAAAAAAGGTAAATACAGAAATCAGTGCTACAATAAGCATTTCTATATACATGTGTTGCTCTTTTCTTTTTCTTTTTTCTTTTCTTTTCTTTTTTTTTTTTTTTTTTTTGAGACAGGGTCT